ATAATCTTATAAGCAGATGAGAACTCACCATTTGAATTATATAAAATCTGCATAGTTTCAAACTCCAAAGTTGTATAAGCTGGGTCCAATACTTCACTGTAATTTCCCATTTCCATGTCCAGTATTGGTTCTGACACCCTCATCATAGACTGAGAGACACATGCAGTGGCGGCACAAGCCCAGTGTGTGTGATGACTGACTTGCTTTCAATCTGCGAGTGGTAATCCAGAGTTAACTGTAACTGAGTGACTTAAGTGCTAAAGTGGGAGGGGCTGTAAAACTGTAACCTCCTCCAGCAGGCCATATTCTACTTATTTCTTGTTTTATGACCATGACAGCAATTTCTTGTGATAATCTTGGAATGCTTCATGAAATTGCCTTATCTGAAGTACTTAGTGGACTGACATGATTCCTTAAATTGACTTCTAAGAGACAATAAATGCTACCATTAGGAACAGGATTAAACCTAGAAAAGAAAATCTCATGCTTCAGGCTGTAATTACACTATTAGGTGTGCATTTAATGTCACAGAACTACATACCATGTGTTCTGATAGATAAAACTTAACTTTCTGTTTTAAACTTGGTAAGTCTTGACTATAAATTGACACTTAACCTGAAACTAGTTTTCTTACATGTGTAATAAAACTGTATTTTGAAGTAAATTTATATTTTATAATGACAGGCATTTATGATATATTTTAGTTAAATCCTGGTAGAAACCCAAGGAGACCGTTAAAATAGTCTCTTTTACTACCAGTATATGGGGCTGTGTCTTTTCCTTTCTGTGAGATTCCCATGGGCACAACTGGGAGAATTGTCAGCATTCAATCAACACTTGTTACATAAATAAGGTTACATGTCTTTTGACGCCTGTTTATTACATTATAGGCATTCACTGAAATAAAATTATCCAGTCCAACCGTGTGCTGGTTTACATATACTTTCATTTGTGTAATGTACTATGTTTTTTAAGTGTATATGTGGCAAGGAGGATTTAGGTTTTTGGAGAACATTTAGATGAAAATAATGGATGAGTATATCATCTTTAAAAACATATTCATTGCCAGGCGAGGTGGCACATGCCTGCAATCCCAGCACTCAGGAGCCTGAGGCAGGAGGATCGTTGTGAGTTCGAGACCAGCCTGGGCTACATAGTGAGTTCTAGGTCAGTCTCAGCCATATAGTGAGACCCTGTCTCAACAAAACAAAACAAAAACAAAAAACAAAAAAAACACAAACAAACAAACAAAAAGATGTATTCATTGATTTTTCTCTTCCAAGAAAAAAATATTGCCCTATTTACATTATAAATTCAGAATTTTATTTGGCATATTTGTTAAGGTTTACAGCAAGTTAATCAGTTTCTTAATGCCATAGGCCTTGTGAATGTTGTTTTAGTTATTACTATACTTTTCCTCTAGAAAGGCTGACCTTTTAAGATAAACTCAAAATCATATGAAGAATTGTGAGAAAAATAGCAGTTATATTAGCAGTCAAACTCACTAACTCATTGACCACTGAAGAAGTCCTCTTGTCTTCATATTCTGTGTAATCTAGTAACACAGTCACATTAATTATATTTTGAACAAATTTTGAGAAATGGTTTTCTTTAATGAAGGCCAAAAAAACCTATTCCGTTTTCGTAGAAGTGGTAGTAAATAAATCCTATAGCCTTCATTGGCCTGAAGTAGTTCTCATGTGGGCTGCAGTAACTAAGATGTATTTCTGGTGAGAACCAAAAGAGAGAATTGTGCATAGCACACCATCTTTCTTACTAACGTGGTGTCTACCCAATAGTAGGGGATGTCACCATTAGTGTCCAATAGATGGGGGGGTTGGGGAAACTTTCATGTATATATGATTGTAAACATTAAAAATAATGTGGAGGGCCGGAGATTTAGCTCAGTGGTTCTGCTGCCTGCCTCTCAAGCGCAAAGACCTGAGTTCGATCCCCAGTACAAAAAAAAAAAAAAAAAATGTGATTACAGCTCGGGAAAATAATGTCAATAGTATCATTGTCCTAGCCCATCTTGAATTCATGGCAGACATGACTATCAGGAGAAGGCATTTGGATCTAAAGGGAAGGGCTGTAAAGTCATCTCAGTACAGATGTTCAAGAAACCACTTCCATTTAATCAAAGCTGACTCTCAAGATAAATCTTGTTTCCTATCCACGTTACTCCAAATTATCTTATTCATTGAGTAGGGGCTTGGGAATTATCAGGGTACAACCAAGATGGCCGGCAAATCTTCTCAAGTGCATCGTTTGTCTTTCTAATGACTGATAACTCAAATGTCAAAGAGCCACAGAATTCAGTCAGCCTTGGT